AGTCTGAAAAAACAAAACGTTTATAAGGCTCTTGTTTACATTTCAGTTAGTTAACATATAAGGTAATATTCATTCCAGGAGTACAATAGTGACTACGCAATTCCATATAAAACCTGGTGCTTGTCGCAATTGTACTCCTTAATCCTTGTAACTAATTTAACTCATCTGCTCACCCACCTGGACACTGGCTTCCATCAGCTTGCTCTCTATAGGTAAGAGTCTGTTTCTTTCTTTGCGTCTCCCTTCTTTTTTTTCTTTCTCGTTGCACACTTTTTCATTTGTTGACTTCTACCTATGAGTGAAATCATATGGCATTTGTCTTTCTCTGACTGATATCACTTAGCATAATACTCCCTAACACCATCCACGTTGTTGCAAGTGGCAAGATTTCATTCCTTTTTATGCTAATATTCCACTGTACATACATATCAAATCTTATTTATTCATTCAGTAGTCAATGGCCAATTGGGTTGGACTGTTTGAAGCAGAAATGCTCATTGCCTCTCCCTGCTGAACTGCTCCTCCAGCAAATCAGCACCATGGACAGAGCCGGAACCTGAGCGCATACTCCTTATGGTACTGACTAGAGAGGAAGGCCCCATACAGCAGTGCAGCTGCTTCCCTGAAAGGTCCCCCCATCTGCAGTGGATCTAACCTTGACAGCGGTTGTATTGTTACGGGCTGTGGACTGGATCCTGGCAAAAGGACCAAGTGGCACTCAGAGACCTTGGAAGATCAGAGGTTGATTTCACACCGGTGGGCTCAGAAGAGAGTACTCTCTCAAGGTCTGAACCCCAAGCACAAACAAAGGGGGTATTTATACATTTTTACTTCCATATCTGTGCTACTCTTGCAGCTGTGGCTGGTAGGGCTAGGGGAAAGCCTGGAATGGCCCTGGGGCCAGGACTGGGATTCCCCTGCTGGACTGCTCAGCCCCTTCAGAACATAGGGTTTCCTTATCAATAAACATGGGAAACGAGGGTTTGGGTTCAACCACAGCACACACCTTGCTAATCCTGCCTATTCCACTATCCAGGAGGCTTCTTGCTCCCCACGTTCGTGACATTTTAAAGCTATACCTAAATGTGTTGGGGGCCATGAGGCCTGGTCAAGGGCATTGCCCCACTAGGTTCAGGTTTGAACTGATGCAGGCCTAATTCTGCTGAGGGCCGGATAGTGCCACAGATAACCATGGTCTGATAGTCTCATGCCTTTTCCTCTGATCCCCGTATCTCTCTTAAAGAGCCCCTTGCTAATCTGCCACAAACATCTCTCAGGCTTGTGGGCCAGAGCAACTTCAAGGAGGTAAATTATTCCGTACCCAAGACACTGGAGAAATTTAAACGTGTACCACAATAGACACTTTCCTCCTTAGGTTGATGTTTATCCAAGGCTTTCACAAGCCAAGCCACTGAAATACATCCTGCCTCCAGCAAAGGTAATGCCTTCTCGTTCCTACTTCTCTCCTATATACTTAGTTTCTTCAGATAGCTTCCCATTTTCCATTTACCTATATCCACTTTGCCTGCAGTTCCTTACTACCTAGTTCATCCCTAAAGCTTCTCATTTTCCATTAACCTATATCCTGTTTTCCTTCAGACTCCAGACCAAAAGCACATATTTCTGCTACCTCCCATGGCTTTCAGAGGGACATGACTACTCAAGAGGCAAGACCCTGTCCCCCATCCCTGCTGCCAGTCTGTACCCACTATAGCTTACACTAGAATAACTTGTGCTGAACAAAGAGAAATTATCTGATGAGTGCTTGAGCCCTTTGATGTCCTTTGCATTAATGTAATCCCCTACCCCAATTAAACTGCCTATAAAAGGAGCTCTAAAATAAAATAAAATGAATATGCCTGACTACTGACCAGAACTCGTTGTGCGGCTCTCCCATTCCTTTTGCCAACACCACCCCTCCTTTGGGACACCTGGACCTGCCAAGGCTGGACCCCAGCATAAATGATTGCATCATCCAAAACCCATCCCATCCAGTGCCACTGATCTAGACCTGGGCCATCACAGTCATCACTGTCACCCAAGAGCATCTGGTCCTCAGTTACAGTCAGGAATTCAGTTAAATCATGAAGATAAAGACTTTCCTACTCCTTTAAAACTAACATATTTGGACACCTGGGTGGCTCAGTGGGTTAAAGCCTCTGCCTTTGGCCCAGGTCATGATCCTGGGGTCCTGGGATTGAGCCTCACTGCTCAACAGGGAGCCTGCTTCCTCCTCCTCCTCCTCTCTCTCTCTCTCTCTCTGCCTGCCTCTCTGCCTACTTGTGATCTCTGTCAAATAAATAAATAAAATCTTTAAAACTAACACATTTGCCAACTCACGTTCCCCATGACCTGTATTCACCAGATGACACCACCAAGCCTGTGCTTTCGAATGACTAAAGCGAGCCATATCCAGTTCCTTCCCCACAACAGAGGTTTTCACATTTTCTTTTAATAGGTCTTCCCTTTCTCTCTAAGGATGTTGCCTTCATCGAATTTTACTGAGATTCACATCCCACATCCAGGCCTAAATATCTGAATAAATGCCCTTTGCCTGTCCATCTCTCTAATATCAATTGTTTAGTGAGAACACCCTTGCCCCAGTTCAGGCAAAAAAGAATGGTTGTGATGCCTATGGAACTGGAAACAAAAATGAGGAAAAATACAACTGGAGATTTGGAAATAACTAGGAAATAAAACAAGGAGAAATTATTCTAATGCTGAGTCTGTTGTTCACCCCAGACCACTGTTCTGCACATGCTAATTCATCATGTTATAATATTTTATATCTCTTACCTGAGCTACAATATCATGCCATTTAGAATAGGTCTCCTCTACTTCTGGCATATCTGTTACACACACATCAAGGTCATATGTGCATATGTACTTCATAGACACATCAAAGCAACAGCTCAGTGTAACATACCTTTACTAGGGGCCGTGATTCAATGCTTTAGAGTCTGAGCAGTAAGTCCAGACTAGGTCATTGAAACTAAAACAGGTTTAGGTAAGCTCTGCAGAAATCTTCTCTAAGGGTCATGGGAAGCAGAAGCCTTTGGAAAAAGGAGATGGCTGCTCACAAGGGTGGATTGTTGTCATATCAGAAGTTACATTGCCTTGTGACTCTGCAGGGTGTTGTCTAGAGAACACACTAGTGAGAAGGGTAGGTGTCAGTTCAAGGCTCCTGGAAAACTACTGGTTACACACAGGAAATGCCAAATAGCAGTATCATGGAGTATGTGAACTACCAGGTCAACCATACCTCCATATAATCTGTAACATATCAACAATAACAACACAGTATTCATAAAGAGGAGAAAATGATACAATACATCAACTGGAGGGGGGAATCACACATGGTTTTAACTTAAGGAACTGAGAGAATGGATTCCTAGGAATATTATTCCACTCCATTACCAAGTAGGGGATAGATACCATCAGTTCTCTACAACCTTCAATAGAGTGAGATGGTTTCACATTGGTGGTGGGATAACACATCATTCATTACACACCCATATTAAGATGTTAAAAACCATCATGTTTTATTAGTTAAAATATACTAAGTACACAGACTATATTATGCATTTCAAATCCACTCTATTGTCCCTGTTCAAAATACAAGATGCAAGCGTTAAAAAGCCCTCAAATGCTGGTATCATGATGTGGGAGTAGTGATTACCATATATTTCAGGTCTGAGAATCATTAACAAATGTGTGTGTCCAATGATATGGCACTGTAGGGAAGAGTGAGCTATGCTCTTTTTGTTTTCTGTGAGGATTTCTGCATTTCAACCACATCAGCTCCTACTCTCTAAAGATCACTATGACGAAGATACATTAGTACTGAACTGGACTGCCACCTCTTTTTCTGTAAAGAACAATTAGTAAAACCTTGTATTTCTAGTTGGAGGAAGTTCTTTAGTTTCAATAAATGGATAACAATTATGATCTGAACACCTATCTCATGGTAACTTACATCAATATTACAACCATAAACAGCATCTCCATTTAGATTTTCTTCATTTGTTGCATATTATCCTATCCTTCATCTTCCATGGAAAATTAGGGATGCATTAGTCCCATCTAATGCAGAAGGGCATCAAATATCTTTGATATGCCTACAATCAGCCACATGGTTTCACACATACACAGTAGGAATAAATAAATTTTCTGAAGTGATTTGAGAATTAGGTACATTATTATTAGTCACAAATCTCAAATAGGGTCAATGTAACGAAAAAGTGCATTGAAATTAATTATATCTATGTAAAAGTCCACCCATTAAATCTCTTGCATATAACAACATATCTATTTGCTTTAACTTTGTCTTTTTCCTTGGAATAACTGTTTTGATACAGAGTACTGTCTGAATAGAGTGACTGATGTATGGCTTTCTACTAGCTATCTGTCAAATGTTATTGACATCTGATGATCAATTAAATAGTTTTCCAAACTCTGGTACCTTTCAATCTACTTACTTTAATGTCCTCTCTGGTATTCACTTAAGTGTATATTGAAAAGAAGGCCTTTCCACATTCATTATGTTTCTAGGGTTTGCTTTTTTTTTTTTTTTTAAGATTTTATTTATTTGACAGACAGAGATCACAAGTAGGCAGAGAGGCAGGCAGAGAGAGAGAGGGGAAAGCAGGCTCCCTGTCGAGCAAAGAACCTGATGCGGGGCTCGATCCCAGGACTCTGGGATCATGACCTGAGCGGAAGGCAGAGGCTTTAACCCACTGAGCCACCCAGGTGCCCCTAGGGTTTGCATTTTTTGACACTGAGTACAGACTGAATTCCAGTTAAAGTTAGAACACTTTTTTCACATTTTCCAGTTTTCTTCCTATGACAACGATGACGTTAAGTTGTGTGCTCCAGGGAGAGAGAGGTAAGACACATTCTTTATATTTGCGTAGTTACTCTCCAATATGAAATCTCTGATGTGGAGTATGGTAGAGCAGTCCTTAAGCATTTTTTCCACATTCTTTACATTTGTAAGGTTTCTATCCAGTATGAATTCTATTATGGTTACTAAGGTGTGAGTGCTGTTGAAAAGTCTTTCCAATTTCTTTACATTTATATGCAATTCTGTGATAAATTCTGTGATGAGGAAGTGTTGAGAACAATCTAAAGGCCTTGCCACATTATTTATAATTCTAAGGTTTCTCTCCAGTATGAATTCTGTGATGTTGAATAAAGTTTGAGTGGATGTTAAAGGCTTTGCCACATTCTGGACATTGGTAAGGTTTCTCTCCAGTATGAATTCTGTGGTGTTGAGTAAGGGCTGAGTGCTGGTTAAAGGCCTTGCCACATTCTTGACATTGGTAAGGTTTCTCTCCAGTATGAATTCTGTAATGTTGAATAAAGTTTGAGTGCCTGTTAAAGGCCTTGCCACATTCTGGACATTGGTAAGGTTTCTCTCCAGTATGAATTCTATGATGTTGAATAAAGTTTGAGTGGATGTTAAAGGCCTTGCCACATTCTGGACATTGGTAAGGTTTCTCTCCAGTATGAATTCTGTGATGTTGAGTCAGGTGTGAGTGCTGTTTAAAGGCTTTGCCACATTCTAGACATTGGTAAGGTTTCTCTCCAGTATGAATTCTGTGATGTCGAGTAAGGGCTGAGTGATGGTTAAAGGCCTTGCCACATTCTGGACATTGGTAAGGTTTCTCTCCAGTATGAATTCTGTGATGTTGAGTAAGGGCTGAGTGCTGGTTAAAGGCCTTGCCACATTCTGGACATTGGTAAGGTTTCTCTCCAGTATGAATTCTGTGATGTTGAATAAAGTTTGAGTGCCTGTTAAAGGCCTTGCCACATTCTGAACATTGGTAAGGTTTCTCTCCAGTATGAATTCTGTGATGTCGAGTAAATGCTGTGTGAAACTTAAAACCTTTGCCACATTCTTTACATTTGTAGAGTTTCTCTCCAGTATGAATTTGCCTGTGTCCACTTAGTGATGAGAAGTCTTTAATGGTTTTACTAAATTTCTCACATTTGTATGGTTTCTCTACAGTATGATTTCTGTGATGCTGAAATAGGTTTGAGCTGAAGTTAAAGGTTTTGCTGCGTTCTTTACATTGGAAAGGTTTCTCTCCGTATGTATGTTTGAATATTTGATTGGAGCTTTTGCTGACAGAAACACACTGCTTTGCAGAAACAGTTGACTTAAAAAGTAAGGTTTTCCATGATGTTTTATATCCTTCACTATTCTGGTCATTTTGATTCTTATCAAGCGCGGTTGTCTCCAAATGGCTATGTCCTTCATGGTATGTTTGATGCCCTTCACTCTCCCCATCATTGTCCCAGTATGTCATTAAGCAAACATTTTCAACAGCACTATTTTTGTATCTACCCATTGACACTTTTTGGAAAGAAGTTTCTACGCTTGGCTTCTGCAGGCAGCTTTGAGGGTCATGTGAAGATACAGCTGAAAGATATCAAATAAGAGAAGCTTTGCACACTGGCAGTATCGTAGCCAATGAGGTTTATCCGAGGCACAATTATTGCTAATTGAAAACTTTTCTAAAAGATATCAAATAGAGAAAAGTAAAATCATTCTACTTATCACATTCAGATGAACATACGAATGTCTTCTAATATACAAGCTTCAAGTCAATTAAAGAATGTCAGGAAGATGGCCGAGAAGGAATCATGAGGACTTCATTCCTCCATGGATACAGAACTTTGCACACAACATACAGACCACATATCCTAATAGATAATTCTGTGATATTGTCATCTTGTAGCACACATCATTTTCCTCTATCTCAAATAATCAGCAAAAGTGTCATATGAGAATAAAATTGTGGAAGGATGGATTCTTAAACATAAAACTGGAATGAACCCAATAGAATACAGTAAAAATACGAACATATCCACAATAGGAAGAGTTGGTTGTCAGAAAAGATCAACAAAATTGACAGCTCATGAACTAAATCAAGGGCAAATAAATGAGAAAAGACCACCTAAAAGGAGAAGTGAAGAAGTAAAAGCTGACACAGTAGAACTAATACCATAGAAATAAAAGCAATTATAAAAGGAGACAATGTATAATCATGTGCCAAGAAAGTGATACCAAAAGACAACAATAAATTTCAAAAAAGGTATAACCATCATGAAGAAATATTTTAAAATTACAACTTATCAACAACTACTAAGCACACTGAAAGAGTAATGAAAAAATTCCCAACAAGGAAAAGTCCTGTGCTAGATGAATTCACTGAAGAATTCAAACAGACACTTCATGACAAAGGACTTCAAATCTCCTCAAACATTTCCAAGGAGTGAAGATCAAAGAAATCAACAGAACATGCTCTCTAGGGCACCAGCATTACCAGGTTATCTGAGCCAGGAGAAGACACTATAGCTAAAGAAGTCTACAAACTACTACCTGTGAGGAATATTCATGCAAAGTCCACAATAAAACAGAACAAACTAAGTCAAAAGCAGATTTTATCATTTAGCAACATAATCAAGTGAAAAATCTTCCTGGAATTAAGGGTGTTCCAGTATGGAAAACTATAAATTGAAGACTCCACAATAACAGAATGAAGATCAAAAAAGACATGATCGGGGAGCCTGGGTGGCTCAGTGGGTTAAAGCCTCTGCCTTTGGCTCAGGTCATGATCTCAGCGTCCTGGGATAGAGCTCCACATCGGGCTTTCTGCTCAGTAGGGAGCCTGCTTCCTCTTCTCTCTCTGCCTGCCTCTCTACCTACTTGTGATCTCTCTCTCTCTGTCAAATTAATAAATAAAATCTTAAAAAAAAAAGAGATGATCATATTAATTGAGACAGAACACAAGTATGGCATATTGGACATATCATGATTAAAAATACTCAATAAAAGTGGCTGGGTGGCTCAGTCATTAAGTGGCTGCCTTCAGCTCAGGTCATGATCCCAGGGTCCTGGGATGGAGCCCAGCATCAGGTTCCCTGCTCAGCAGGAAGCTTGCTTCTCCCTCTCCCACTCCACCTGCTTATATTCTCTCTCTGGCTGTGTTTCTGTCAAATAAATATATAAAATCTTTCAAAAAAATAAAAATTTTAAAAAATAAAAACACTCAGTAAGTAGAGATAGAAGAAACTCTCTCAACCTAATAAAAGCCATATATGTATGAAAAGCTGACTCAATAGTAAAAGACTACAAACTTCTCCTCTAAGATCAGAAACAATGTGATGAAGGGATTACAACACTGCCTTTGAGCAAAGTACCAGATATTCTAGTCAGAACAGTTAAGGAAGGAAAAATACATAAAAAGAATCCAAATTGAAAAAGAAAAAGTAAAATTATCTGTGTCCACAGATGATGTGATCTATAGAAAACCATTAAGAATTCTAACTTCATTTTTTTCTGTTTTGTCATTGTTCGCATTGTTTATTTTGCTAATCTTTTTTTCCACAACACTTTCCATTTTCAAAATCTTTTTTGCTCTACATGGTTGAGTTAAGAAAAAAGTTGGGGGGCACCTGGGTGACTCAGGGGGTTAAAGCCTCTGCCTTCAGCTTAGGTCATGATCCCAGGGTCCTGAGATCAAGCCCCACATCAGGCTCTCTGCTCAGTGGGGAGCCTGCTTCTCTCTCTCTCTCTGCCTGCCTCTCTCTCTCTCTCTCTGCCTGCCTCTCTCTGCCTACTTGTGATCTCTGTCTGTCATATAAATAAATACAGTTTAAAAAAGAAAGAAAAAAGTTGGAATAAACAACTTTCCTACTAAAAGAAGGGAAATACTGGGGCACCGGGGTGGCTCAATAGGTTTAGCCTCTGCTTTCAGCTCAGGTTATGATCTCAGGCTCCTGGGATTGAGCCCCACATGGGTCTCTGCTCAGCAGGGAGCCTGCTTCCCCCACTGTCTCTGCCCGCCTCTCTCTGTCTACTTGGGATCTCTGTCAAATAAATAAAGTCTTTAAAAAAAATAAAAGAAAAGAAGGGAAAAACTACTGAAAATTAGTTTTCCTTTCGGAAAAAAAACTACTGAAATTTAATAGAGAAAGAAAATAACAAAAGTGTGAAATAAATATAATAGAGCAGAATAAACAATAACAATACATTGAACGTAATGCTCATTTTTTATTGTTTTTTTTCTTTTTGTTGTTTTTTTTAATTTATTTTTTTATTAACATATAATGTTTCAAATAACATATTCTTTGTTTCATGGGTATAATGCCCTTTTTAACCAAAATAATAACAAAACTGGCAATGCTTTAATTAGATCAATTAATACATACTAATCAGTTAACTTAGAAAAAAAATACCCAGATAATTCATAAAAATGCTCAAGTTACTAAGACTGAATTATCAACCTTATACCAAAAAAATTGGGAATCTTCTTAGACCAGAATAACAGTTTAATTTGGAAACAAAACTGTCCCAGCACAGAAAAGCCCAAGGCCTAGGAATGATACTATATTTGATGGAGTCACTCTGTTCCCTAAATGAAATCTTGAGAGAGATGATACATCTCTCTTTGATTCAGATTCATTATTTTTCATTCATTCATTCATTCATTCATTCATTCATTTATTGTCCTCTAGGTCAGAAAGTTATTCCCCTATTTCTTCCTGCCTCCTGTTCATTGCATCAAGTCTGTTTCCAAACTGATGGATTGCATTGTTAATCTCTTTCATTTTTTTTAAAGATTTATTTATTTGTTTATTTGAGACACAGAGAAAGAGATAGAGAGAGCATGAGTAGGAGCTACAAGAGGGGAGAAGAAGGGAGAATACTAAGCAGACACCACAGTGAATGAGGAGCTTAACTTGGAGCTAGATCCCAGGATCCTGAGATCACTACCTGGACCAAAACCAAGAGTCTGATATTTAATGGAGTGAGCTACCCACATGCCCCCATTTTTTTTTTTTTTTAAACTCTGCTCTCTATGTTAAGGTTCTCATTATTCTTTTCTCATCCCTGGGAATATCCCTAAGATTGTTGCCTTAAATTCTCCATCAAGCAAGTTACTCATTTCTGTTTCCCTTAGATCTCTAGCCATGGCCATATCTCATTTCATGTAAGATACATTTTTTCATCTTGGTATTTTGTCTACGTCTCTGCCTTCTTCTGTATTTGGAAAAGCCACTGATGTGTCCTCTTATATCCTTCAGGCCAGGGTTCTGCAGAGGCTCTCCTTGCTTGCTGTGGGGAATATTTGGACCCTAGCCTCAGTGTGACTAGGTGAGCTCTGGTCTACTTGTGATAGGAGACCTGACATCAACTCCACCAGGGCTGAGGCCCTACAGAACTCTCTGCTCAGCAGATGTGGTGTGGGCAGGGGCCCACCTTGCTGGTCCTGAGGCAAGCCTCANATTTCCAAGGAGTGAAGATCAGAGAAATCAGCAGAACATGCTCTGTAGGGCACCAGCGTTACCAGGTTATCTGAGCCAGGAGAAGACACTATAGCTAAAGAAGTCTACAAACTACTACCTGTGAGGAATATTCATGCAAAGTCCACAATAAAATAGAACAAACTGAGTCAAAAGCAGATTTTACCATTGAGCAACATAATCAAGTAAAAAATCTTCCTGGAATTAAGGGTGTTCCAGTATGGGAAACTATAAATTGAAGACTCCACAATAACAGAATGAAGATCAAAAAAGATATGATCATATTAATTGAGACAGAACAGAAGTATGAGCATATTGGACATATCATGATTAAAAATACTCAATAAAAGTGGCTGGGTGGCTCAGTCATTAAGTGGCTGCCTTCAGCTCAGGTCATGATCCCAGGGTCCTGGGATGGAGCCAAGCATCAGGTTCCCTGCTCAGCAGGAAGCCTGCTTCTCCCTCTCCCACTCCCCCTGCTTGTGTTCTCTCTCTGGCTGTGTTACTCTCTGTCAAATAAATATATAAAATCTTTTAAAAAAATAAATAAAAATTTTAAAAAATAAAACACTCAATAAGTAGAGATAGAAGAAACTCTCTCAACCTAATAAAAGCCATATATGTATGAAAAGCTGACTCAATAGTAAAAGACTGCAAGCTTCTCCTCTAAGATCAGAAACAATGCAATGAAGTGATTACAACACTGCCTTTGAGCAAAGTACCAGATATTCTAGTCAGAACAGTTAAGGAAGGAAAAATACATAAAAAGAATCCAAATTGTAAAAAGAAAAAGTTAAATTATCTGTGTCCACAGATGATGTGATCTATAGAAAACTGTTAAGAATTCTAACTTCAATTTTTTCTGTTTTGTCATTGTTTGTATTGTTTATTTTGCTAATCTTTTTTTCCACAACACTTTCCATTTTCAAAATCTTTTATGCTCTACATGGTTGAGTTAAGAAAAAAGTTGGGGGGCACCTGGGTGGTTCAGGGGTTAAAGCCTTTGCCTTCAGCTTAGGTCATGATCCCAGGGTCCTGAGATCAAGCCCCACATCAGGCTCTCTGCTCAGTGGGGAGCCTGCTTCCCTCTCTCTCTGCCTGCCTCTCTCT